CAACCTCCCAACCCATAAAAAAGTTAATCAGCATAACGTACATCAGGAATCAGATTCAAGGTTCGGCTTGATTGAGTAACTTTTTTGGGGGGTAAACAGAAAAAAAATTCTTGCCCGAAGGGCATTCCAGAGGGGCGTTCACCCCGAAACTCCTTCTAGTTATTGCTTATCCCATTAAATGTTATATAATTTACACATAAAGAGGCACAAAAATCTCATCTAAATATTTAAAATTTGTCGTTAGTGAAAAAGACACACGTTGCAGAACAAGTTTCAACGTTTCGCCCTGTGTGGAGTTTCTTCCTGTGTGGAGTTTCTTCCTGTGTGGAGCTTCTTCCTGTGTGGAGCTTCCCCCTGTGTGGAGCTTACCCGTGTGTGGAGCTTCCCCCTGTGTGGAGCTTCCCCCTGTGTGGAGCTTCCCCCTGTGTGGAGCTTCCCCCTGTGTGGAGCTTCCCCCTGTGTGGAGCTTCCCCCTGTGTGGAGTTTCGTCGTTGATATTTTATCTTCGTGTTCCTTGAGAGTCACATTAGTAAACACATCATACAGTCACACGTGTAACCATGTGTCACCAGTCACACGTGTAACCATGTGTCACCAGTCACGTGTAACCATGTGTCACCAGTCACACGTGTAACCATGTGTCACCAGTCACACGTGTAACCATGTGTCACCAGTCACACGTGTAACCATGTGTCACCAGTCACACGTGTAACCATGTGTCACCAGTCACACGTGTAACCATGTGTCACCAGTCACACGTGTAACCATGTGTCACCAGTCACACGTGTAACCATGTGTCACCAGTCACACGTATAACCATGTGTCACCAGTCACACGTGTAACCATGTGTCACCAGTCACACGTGTAACCATGTGTCACCAGTCACACGTGTAACCATGTGTTACCAGTGACACGTGTAACCATGTGTCACCAGTCACACGTGTAACCATGTGTCACCAGTCACACGTATAACCATCTGTCACCAGTCACACGTGTAACCATGTGTCACCAGTCACACGTGTAACCATGTGTCACCAGTCACACGTGTAACCATGTGTCACCAGTCAAACGTATAACCATGTGTCACCAGTCACACGTGTAACCATGTGTCACCAGTCACACGTGTAACCATGTGTTACCACTCACACGTGTAACCATGTGTCACCAGTCACACGTGTAACCATGTGTCACCAGTCACACGTATAGCCATGTGTCACCAGTCACACGTGTAACCATGTGTCACCAGTCACACGTATAACCATGTGTCACCAGTCACACGTGTAACCATGTGTCACCAGTCACACGTGTAACCATGTGTCACCAGTCACACGTGTAACCATGTGTCACCAGTCACACGTGTAACCATGTGTCACCAGTCACACGTGTAACCATGTGTTACCAGTCACACGTGTAACCATGTGTCACCAGTCACACGTGTAACCATGTGTCACCACTCACACGTGTAACCATGTGTCACCAGTCACACGTGTAACCATGTGTCACCAGTCACACGTGTAACCATGTGTCACCAGTCACACGTGTAACCATGTGTCACCAGTCACACGTGTAACCATGTGTCACCAGTCACACGTGTAACCATGTGTCACCAGTCACACGTAACCATGTGTTACCAGTCACACGTGTAACCATGTGTCACCAGTCACACGTGTAACCATGTGTCACCAGTCACACGTATAACCATGTGTCACCAGTCACACGTGTAACCATGTGTCACCAGTCACACGTGTAACCATGTGTTACTAGTCACACGTGTAACCATGTGTCACCAGTCACACGCGTAACCATGTGTCACCACTCACACGTGTAACCATGTGTCACCAGTCACACGTGTAACCATGTGTCACCCACCAGTCACACGTGTAACCATGTGTCACCAGTCACACGTGTAACCATGTGTCACCAGTCACACGTGTAACCATGTGTCACCAGTCACACGTGTAACCATGTGTCACCAGTCACACGTGTAACCATGTGTCACCAGTCACAGGTATGACCATGTATCACCAGTCACACGTGTAACCATGTGTCACCAGTCACACGTGTAACCATGTGTCACCAGTCACCCGTGCAACCATGTGTCACCAGTCACACGTGCAACCATGTGTCACCAGTCACACGTGTAACCGTGTGTCACCAGTCACACGTGTAACCGTGTGTCACCAGTCACACGTGTAACCGTGTCACCAGTCACACGTGCAACCATGTTTCACCAGTCACACGTGTAACCATGTGTCACCAGTCACACGTGTAACCATGTGTCACCAGTCACACGTGTAACCATGTGTCACCAGTCACACGTGTAACCATGTGTCACCAGTCACACGTGTAACCATATGTCACCAGTCACACGTGTAACCATGTGTCACCAGTCACACGTGTAACCATGTGTCACCAGTCACACGTGTAACCATGTGTCACCAGTCACACGTGTAACCATGTGTCACCAGTCACACGTGTAACCATGTGTCACCAGTCACACGCGTAACCATGTGTCACCAGTCACACGCGTAACCATGTGTCACCAGTCATACGTGCAACCATGTGTCACCAGTCACACGTGTAACCATGTGTCACCAGTCACACGTGTAACCATGTGTCACCAGATACACGTGTAACCATGTGTCACCAGTCACACGTGCAACCATGTGTCACCAGTCACACGTGTAACCATGTGTCACCAGTCACACGTGTAACCATGTGTCACCAGTCACACGTGTAACCATGTGTCACCAGTCACACGTGTAACCATGTGTTACTAGTCACACGTGTAACCATGTGTCACCAGATACACGTGTAACCATGTGTCACCAGTCACACGTGTACCCATGTGTCAACAGTCACACGTGTAACCATGTGTCACCAGTCACACGTGTAACCATGTGTCACCAGTCACACGTATACCCATGTGTCACCAGTCACACGTGTAACCATGTGTCAGCAGTGACACGTGTAACCATGTGTCACCAGTCACACATGTAACCATGTGTCACCAGTTACACGTGTAACCATGTGTCTCCAGTGACACGTGTAACCATGTGTCACCAGTCACACGTGTAACCATGTGTCACCAGTCACACGTGTAACCATGTGTCACCAGTCACACGTGTAACCATGTGTCACCAGTCACTCGTGTAACCATGTGTCACCAGTCACATTAGTAAACAGGCCTCATCACAGTCACATGTATTAACAGGTATAACCACAGTCAGAGGTGTACACAGGTATCTTGACAGTCACATGTCACAGTCACAGTCACATGTTACAGTCACATGTCACAGTCACAATGTCACAGTCACAATTCACAGTCACATGTCACAGTCACAATGTCACAGTCACATGTCACAGTCACAATGTCACAGTCACAATGTCACAGTCACAATGTCACAGTCACATGTCACAGTCACAATGTCACAGTCACAATGTCACAGTCACAATGTCACAGTCACATGTCACAGTCACCATGTCACAGTCACATGTCACAGTCACATATCACAGTCACAATGTCACAGTCACATGTCACAGTCACATGTCACAGTCACATGTCACAGGTCACAGTCACAATGTCACAGTCACAATTCAGTCACATGTCACAGTCACATGTCACAGTCACATGTCACAGTCACATGTCACAGTCACATGTCACAGTCACAATGCAAATAAGTCACTGACATTTTTGGATTATTCTGGATAATTTACGAATATGTTACTATGTATAACAATTATATTTTTATGTACTTGTACGTAAATAAACTTACACATAAAAATCTTCTAGCCACCAACACTCACTTTATAAGTGCCGGGACAAGCTGAGAGAAGCAAAATAATTAAAAAAAACAGATCAACTACTGTATATACAGAAGGGCCCCGCTTTACAGCTCTTAGTTTATATCGTTTCGCTAATACAGCGGTTTTCAATTATACCCCATTCATTTTTTCACACATCCCACAATAAATATATTCATCACTCACAAGACGCTAAGGACGAAAATACTTAAAGATAAGTAGTGTGAGTAATGTATATGCACTTTTAGTCCTAAGTATATTGCTCACTTAATATATGATAATGTAAATATGTTATCTGGCTTTTCTGTGCATTTGAAATTGAAAAAAAAAGGCTATACTTCACTTTAAAACAGTAGCCGGAACCTAACCTGTTGTGTAAGTGGGGCTCTCCTGTATACTACTAGCGTGGAGGAACACCGTGTGTGGGGAACCTATATTCACACACACACAAATAACCCGCACATAGAAGAGAGGAGCTTACGTCGACGTTTCGGTCCAACTTGGACCATTTACCACACCTCTTAGACCACACCTCTTCTATGTGCGGGTTATTTGCGTATCGTTGCAGTCACGGTATTATGCCTTTTTCTGTTATATATTCACACACTATGGGTCGCTCTAAACAGCTTTACTAAGCTTCACTGAGAGCCAAGCTTCGCTTACAATAAACGTCGGCTCTATCAGACGTGTCAGCAAGTCTTGCACATCAATGGCATGTTATTAAGACTCATGAAGAATATTTCTAGTTGGGAAAGTTTAAAGTTCTGTGAAAAATGAGACAAATTCACACCAGAGATTGTTAAAACTTTGATGGACAGTATTAAATATTAAAATAGAAGTACACACACACACACACACACACACACACACACACACACACACACACACACACACACACACACACACACACACACACACACACACACACACACATACACACACAGTTACCCTGGCATTAACTCCTAATTTCAACATCATTTACAAAAAATAATTTACTTATTAAGTATTAAATGTAGAGAATATTAAAGAATATTTTATTCAGATAATAACTTTTAACATTAATGAAACAACATGAAGTTAGAGATAACATAAATAACATTAACAGTTAACACAGCAAAACTCATGCACTAATACGAACTGATAAAGAAAAGTATGCAAAAAGATAACAAAAGATGGGAGGCGCGTGAGGCACCTACCTGGCAAGCTGGGAGTTAGTGGGCGTGGGGGAATGGGCGTGGGTGACACGACTTGGCGTGGCGAAGTCACTCGTTGACGCCCATCTCTTGCTGAGCGCCCCTAGTTGAGCAGGTCGCGCAGGGGACACAAAAGGTGATGTGTGCCTGACATGGATGGTTGGGGCGTGGGAAGTAGGGGCGTGGGGTTGGGCGTGAAGCTGGGCGTGGGGCTGGGCGTGAGGCTGGGTTTGGGCGTGGGTAGGGGAAGGGGAGGGAGCGGGACTAACAGAAGAGGAGCTGTGACCATCCGAATACAAGCTGGACGTGGATTGGTAGTGGGCACCCCGCCTGCTGGGAGACGTGGGTGTGTCAACGACCAGCATCATCCTCACACACACACACACACACACACACACACACACACACACACACACAGCCAGCAGCTTTAACCCGACCCCTGCAATCGCACACACACACACACACACACAGCCAGGAGCTGTGGCCTAACCCCTGCAATCACACATACACGCGCGCGCGCACACACACACACACAGCCAGGAGCTGTAACCCAACCCTTGCAACTACAATTAGGTGAATATACACACCAGTGAAGAGACGAGGCTAGGAGCTGTGACTCGACCCGTGCAAACACAATTAAGTGACTTAACACAGATACATAGACACACATTATAGCCCCTTACGTACATTCTCCCACACACTCTCCTACACACACTTCCACATTCACACTCATGGAGCAGTAGCGACCAGTGAAGAGGTGGGGCCAGGAGCTATGTCTCGACCCCTGCAACCACTCGTCTACACACTCAACCACATTCTCCTACACACTCCCATATTCTCCTACATTCTTCTACAATCTTCCCATATTCTGCTACACTTTTACGCATTATCTTACACTCTTCTTCACACTAACATATTTTCCTACATTCATCTGCACACTTTCCTACACTTTCACACACCTACACTTTCACACTCTCCAACACGACCACTCTCCTTAACTTACTCTCCCCATAACTCTCATAAACTCTTCAAGGCTCCCACACACTCTCTCCAACACACTCCTACACTGTACCACAGACAAACTGTTCTTCATGTTCAAGCTCAGACTCCACAACCTAATGAATCATATTGATGTCAGCCTTCCTGAGGCATCTTCAATGTACATTACACAAGAACTACGCTTCGAATGATGATATAATAATAATAATAATAATAATAATAATAATAATTGTTGTTGTTATATTTAAATGCGAGAAATAATGAAATACTGCAAATATTATACAATAACCGTCCTTATAAAAATATTTATCCATAAAAACTATAAAATTGAATAAGACTCGTAACTTGTGTTACAGGAACTAGTGATAATTTAGATATGTTTTCCTTGGTCTTGCAGTGAATGTCTCCGAATAAGATCAGTGTATATGGATTCTATAAAGTATAAAGCTGCTTGATAAACTGACTAAGGCAGTAATTTTCAATAGTCTGTGCTTGAACCTGAAGACAAGGTAGTTATGACAGAGAATGTATTATGCAGTGACGGGGGCACCAACATGATGTTTAAGGTTAACATAGACCACAATTGTTTTGGATCAGCTGAAAGCTTAAAAATTAAAAGAAACAGTAAGTCTGCAAATCATTCAAGCATTAAATGATATGAATGCATTACACTTAGAGCTGCAGTAATATTTGCATTTAGAGCTTTGCAAAATAAATGTAACTGCCTAATTCTAAGACTACAGAGTATCAAGATTTTGTTCTTCCAGCACTGCAACTAAAATATTACTGGGAAGAGAAGTTCTTTAGTTTATTGAACATGCTATGGCAGCAGTCAAGACAGTAATGCATGGATATACAGCAGAAGGCTTCTAACACAGTTAATTCACACGGAAACACTTCAAAAACAAAATCTATTATTCACATAGTTTATAATAAGTCTATTTATTTAATATATTAACTCACCTGCCCCAAAAGTTGAATGTGATATTATGGAAATATTGAAGATAAGATTAATATTCACACTTCAAAACATAATCATCGTCTACAACCACAAACCACAGTAAACATGACCATGCAAACACTATATTAGGATATATCTACACCTACGTAACTCATCTTCCTCGTATCAACACCATCAGGATACATCTCATTTGATCTGCCATTTGGCAAATTGATATAACCTATTTCTAACGCCCAGCCCATATTCTTTTCCCTACTCCTGTCTGCCAGCCAGGTTTTAAAACACTTGACCTCATCTTTTCCAATTATCTTATTAATTTTTTTTTTCTCCCCTTTGAAATTGTGAACATTTTTTAGCCACTCACTACATACCGGGGGCTTTTTACCATTTTTGCGGGTCCTCAGTTTTGGTCAAACTTGTTTACTTGAGGCCATTCAGACAGCTTACTTGCTAGCCACAGCTTTACTTGGGGTCACTCAGAAGCATTACCTGCTAGCCACAGCATTTTTTTGCGGCCCTCTAAGATTACCTGCTAGCCACGCATTACTTGCTGGCCACTCCAGAGCTTAACGCTACCCAAACATTATTGCTGCCCCCCAAGATCATTAATGCTAGCCAAAGCTTTACGCGGGCCACTCTCAGATCAAAATTGCAGCCACAACTTTACTTGCGGTCACCTCAATCATTTTTGCGCCCAGCTTTTACTTGCGGCCCCTCTCAAGAAATACCTGCAAAGCCACAGCTTACTTGCGGGCCCCTCCAAGCTTACTGAAAAGCCACAGCTTACTTGCGGCCCTCTCAGAGCTTACCTCTAGCCACAGCATTACTTGCTGGCCCCTCTCAAGCATTACTGTAGCCACAGCATTACTTGCGGGCCCCTCCAGGCTTCCCTGCTAGCCCGCATTACTTGCTGGCCCCTCTCAGAGCTTACCTGCTAGCCACAGCATTACTTTTTTTCACTAAAGAGAGCATTATTGCTACCACAAATTATTTTTGGTCACTAGAGAGCATTTTTGCTAGCCACAACATTACTTGTTGGTCACTCAGAGAGCTTTACTTGCTTGCCACAGCATTCTTGCTGGCCACTCAAGGCTTTACTTGCTTGCCACACTTTTTCCCTGGCCACCAGGGCTTTTAACTTGTTTCACAGCTTTACTTCTGGCCACTCAGAACATTCTTGCTTCCCACAGCAAAAACTTCGGGCCCCTTCAAGAAATTCCCTGCTAGCCCAGTTTTACTTGCGGGCCCCTCTCAGAGCATTACCTGCTAGCCACAGCTTTTATTTGCTGGCCCCCTCAGAGCAAACTGCTAGCCACGCATTACTTGCTGGCCCCTCCCCAGAGCTTACCTGCTAGCCACAGCATTACTTGGGGCCCCCTCTCAGACTTTACCTGCTAGCCACAGCTTTATTTCCCGGGCCCCTTCAGAGCTTTCCCGCTACCACAGCTTACTTGCGGGCCCCCCTCTCAGAGTTTTACTTGCTACCACAGCTTTACGTTGGTACCGAGAGCATTACTTGTAGCCCCTTTATTGTTGGTCACTCAGAGAGCATTACTTTTTCCACAGTTTACTTGCTGGCCACCAGAGAGCATTAACTGCTTGCCACAGTTTATTTTGCTGGCCCTCAGAGAGCATTACTTGTTGCCACAGCATTCTTGCTGGCCATCAGAGCATTACTTTGCTTGCCACAGCATTACTTGCGGGGCCATCAGGAGCATTACTTGTTTGCCACAGATTATTGCTGGCCCCTTCAGAGCATTCCCTGAGCCACAGCATTACTTGCTGCCCCCTCAGAGCTTTACCTGCTAGCCACGCTTTATTTGGGGCCTGGCCCCTTCAGAGCATTACCTGTTAGCCCAGCATTACTTGCTGGCCACTCCAAGAATTACCTGCTAGCCACAGCATTATTCTGGCCCCTTCAGAGCTTCCCTGCTACCCAAGTTTTACTTGCGGGCCCCCTCAGCTTACCTGCACCACAGCATTACTTCTGCCCTCTAGAGCATTATTTGCTAGCCACAGCATTACTTGCTGGCCCCTCTCAGAGATTCCCTGCTAGCCACAGCTTACTTCTGGCCCCCAGGCATTCCTGCTACCCACGCATTACTTCTAGCCACAGCATTACTTTTTGGCACTCAGAGAGCATTATTTGCTTCCCACAGCATTACTTGCTGGCCCACCAGAGCATTAAACTTGCTTGCCACGCATTATTGCTAGCCACACATTGTTGTTGGTCACTCGAGAGCATTACTTGCTTGCCACAGCATTATTTGCAGCCCACATTGTTTTTGGGTCACTCAGAAGCATTACTTGCTTGCCACAGAAAATTACTTGTGCCACCATTACTTGCTGGCCACTCAACAGCATTACTTGCTACCAAGCATTACTTCCCTAGCCACAGCATTGCTTGTTGGTACTCAGAAGGGGGCATTACTTGTTTGCCACCATTACTTGCTGGCCACTCAGAGAGCATTACTTGCTTCCACAATTACTTGCTGGCCACTCAGAGAGCATTATTTCTTGCCACAGCTTTTACTTCTACCACGATTACTTGCTGGCCACTCAGAGAGCTTGACGTCGTTGCTCTTTATTAAGGTTTCAACTATCAACAAATATTTTACATTACCTAGAAAGAATTCACATCTGTATCTTACACCTGCACCCCTAGAGTCGAGAAACCCTCCCTAGGAACCCCTCTGCCCTCCTATGAACCCTGCTGCCCCTCCCTGGGAACCTCTGCTGCCCTGCCTAGGGGAAACCCCCTGCGCCCCTGCCTAGTGGAACCCTGCGGGCCCCTGCCAGGGGAAACCCGCTGCCCCTGCCTGTGAACCTTGCTCCCCCTGCCTAGGGGAACCCCCCTGCTCCCCCGCCGTGGAACCCCTGCTGCCCCTGCCTAGTGGAACCCCTGCTGCCCCTGCCTAGTGAACCTCTGCTGCCCTAGCCTAGTGGAACCCCTGCTGCCCCTGAATAGTGGAACCCCTGCTGCCCCTGCCTAGTGGAACCCCCTGCTGTCCCTGCCTAGTGGAACCCCTGCTGTCCCTGCCTAGTGGAACCCCTGCTGCCCCTGCCTAGTGAACCTCTGCTGCCCTAGCCTAGTGGAATCCCTGCTGCCCCTGCCTAGTGGAACCCCTGCTGCCCCTGCCTAGTGGAACCCCTGCTGCCCCTGCCTAGTGGAACCCCTGCTGCCCCTGCCTAGTGGAACCCCTGCTGCCCCTGCCAAGTGAACCCCTGCTGCCCCTGCCTAGTGAACCCCTGCTGCCCCTGCCTAGTGAACCCCTGCTGCCCCTGCCTAGTGGAACCCCTGCTGCCCCTGCCTAGTGAACCTCTGCTGCCCTAGCCTAGTGGAACCCCTGCTGCCCCTGCCTAGTGAACC